AAAATTTTCTCCAGAACAGAGTTAGATTGATGACTAGTATGATTCTATTGTCAACAGGAAAAATATGATGTACTGTAAAGAGGCAAGACTACTAAACTCGAGAGCATATACACTCCTCAAAAGTGAAATTGTAACATAACAAAGGAATGCGCGTAGCCACATGCAAATTGTAGGACCTGTACAGATGACAGAGATATGCAAATGATTAAGTTTTCATATGCATCGGTTCATTTGTTACCCAGTTTCGGACTATAAAGACCAGCAGCCTGCTCAGGTCGAAAATGCTATCAGCGACAGTTCTCGGCAGCCGAACTTTTGAAGAAGCATAACAAATGGAGACGACAGCAAACTGAATACCATTAGTTAACGGCTGGGGAACGAAACCATATCTTGGAGCTGTGCGAGCTCGATTTGTCGTTGCGCGCAGTTGCCACGTGAGTTGGGTATGATGTGGGAACCATCCAGTAATGTGTGACGCAATGGACGCAAGAGCATCTGCGAACACGCAGAAGGATTGCACCGGCGCACGCCGGAGCACAAAGACTGTTGCATATCTTTGTTCTTTCAATCATTTGCATATGTCTGTCACCTCTATAGGTCTTGCAATGTGCACAAGGCTACGCGCATTCCTTCGTGGTGTTGCAATTTAACTTTTGAGAAGTGTATATTCTGTTAATCATGCACTTCAGCAAACCAGAAAAGCCACATTATTTATCTCTCGCTTCGAAGATTTAAATCGACGATTCAAATGCAGCACATTTTAATTTAATTAAAAGTTTTTCATAATCTGCATATATTTTGAAAATTGTTATATATTTATACTAGCTGTTACCCGCGACTTCTCACGCGCGGATTTTTCAAGCAAATCCCATTTATATTTAGTATTTCAACAACCATAGTAATTGTTATATAACACCTACCGCTGAGAATGATGATAATTGTTGAGAATCAAACGAACTATTTTCAATTTGATCAATTTTCTGGAACGTTTACAATCGTTCTATGATCGAACTAATATGCAATAACAAACTCGAATTTAAAGCGGTTCGAACATTTGGTTATAAAATCGAAATACAGTAGAGCGTCGATTTTCCGAAAGTCAATCATCCGAAACGTCAATCATCCGAAAGAATTCCAGTGGGCAAATTAAAATTTTCGCCAGTGCTGTGGCGCTTCAATCTTTGTCTATGTCTTGGGCTACTCAAATATTTTACGTTTTTGATACTAAATTAACATCTGAAGTATAATTTTTTATTGTTTTTATATTTTTCAATATATTTATTTTGTTCGTACAAAATAAAAAAAATAATTTTTAACGATACAATAGTCTTTGTTTGGCTTAACATCGACGAAAATTCAACGCGAAGCGACACGCAACGGATAAAAATTTTAACATCGGATACGTTAAATTATTTTTTGTACATAAATCGGTTATCCGAAATATCAGTTATACGAACAACCCCAGTCCCCAATTGATTCGGAAAATCGACGCTCTACTGTATATCAAAATATTTATAACAATGTCTGAAATGTTATCAATTTAATACACCTAAGTACTCAATGAAGACTAAACGTAGTTGAAAACAAAAAATCGCATCTAAAATAGTATAGTAGAAGCCATTCTTCAGGTTAAGACTTAATCTTTTCCCTCTCCCCCCGCGGGGGGAATTTCCAAAAATTCCTTTTTAGTGTGCGTTTTCATGATGTACCCTAACTATGTACAAAATTTCACCTCTCTAGGTTCAGCGGTTTGCTCTGAGCGATGATGAATCAATCACTCAGTCAGTCAGGACAAGTAATTATATATATTTAGATTACACCGTACTTTTCTGATTTATTTCGTATTCATAATTCTTTGAGATAAAAAATAATTCGTATTTCGGACGATAATAATAGAAGCGCATCCGATTCCACAACAAGAGTGGCTTTATTTTACCCTTTAAAATTTATTTTTTTTAAATTTTGATGCGGAAAAATACATTTTTTTAAAAAAACTCATTCCGCCCTGTGGGCACTAAGAGGGCCTCTTTTTGCAAGCCCATTATGGGTTCGGCCAGACCCACAATGGGCAGCCGGGTGGTATGTGGCGGGACCCGACTTATCAGGACGGATCGCCTCCGAAAAAATTTGTGGGGATTTTTGACCCGTCCGGATTCGATTCCTGGTCCCCCAAAGCGGTAGTCTATCACCTTGGCCGCTCGGCCATTTGGCCGTCCGGAAGGATACACTAGAAAGAATGTGTGATAGAAGTCGTGTGATCACTTTTAAGATTTACACTTTAACATTTTGACCAGTAATCACACTTACCGGAAGCTACTGATGCATGAAAATCTATATATCATATATTAAATACAATATAAAAAGAATATAATACATAGAAAAATTACAAGCATCATAATCTATGAAAACACTTTATTGTCATTTCAAGTTAAAGTAATTATTTTATGAAATATTACAAGAAATATCTCACTGATAGTTAAAGTCTGTCAGTAAGCTGCCTACAGCTTTGAAGAACTCGGAATCGAAATAGGGCGAATACTCCAAGAAATTTTGGAAGGAGTTGGTCTGTCTCGAATATGTCGGGCCCCGTCCACGCCATCCAGTCGAATTCCCGATAGGCGTGGTTAAAAAGGCACTCTCAGAACTCAAAGGTTGGTAAGAGCCAAATGAAAATATATATCAGTTGAATTTAAAAATTTACAGATTTTGGATCACACAAATCAATCTATTTTTACTGCATTTCTTTGACATTCTATCGAATATAAATTATAATTTACATTAGAGTATGTTCGATTTAATCATTATGTTAAGAATTAAAAAGAAACATCTATAGAAATACTGGATAAATATAGAACAAATTAATAAAATATTTTTAAAACGTCTTACATTTTACTTCGTTCAGAAGCTTATAAATTAGGTTAATAATAGTCTTGTCCTCAATAATCGCAAATATTTTGTTACGTAAAACAATATTTTGTCTATTGTTAACAATTTTTGTNTTTCAGACATTGTTTAAATATTTTTATATATTTCAATTTTACAAATGTTCGAACCGTTTTAAATTCGAATTTGTTATTGCATATTGGTTCGATTATAGAACGATTGTAAACGTTCCAGAAAATTGATCAAATTGAAAATAGTTCGTTTGAGTCTAGGCAATTCTCATCATTTTCAGCGGTAGGTGTTATATAACAATGACTGTGGTTGTTTAAAATCCAAATATAAATGGGGTTTGCTTGCAAAATCTGCGCAGGCGAAGTCGCGGATAACAGCTAATCGTTAGGGTAATAGCCTGATAGTCAATTGGTTAGGATGGTTGCTTACACCTCTGAAAGATTCGCAAAACTCAAGGAATTTATCGAGGTGGGATCCATCAGAATATGTCGGGCCATTCCTAAAAAAAGCCCTCTCAGCACCCAAAAGGCGAAAAGAATTTTATATGTATAGTGTTATTGTAGGTAAAGAGGTGTTCAAAACTTTGTAGAAAGGACTATTAGGCAAATCTTAACCAATTTTGGTCATAAAATGACTCCCAAGACCAAGACACTCTTTACAAATCTTCGACAGATAATCACTTTGTCTTATCGTGCATTACGTATTAAAATCTAATCGTCGAGGCTTGGCACTTTTTCCTACAATTAGTAGCATTCGTTTGTGAAATACTTCACCTCATGCCCCGAAAATGTGTGGTTTCACCCGAATTTTCGGGTACAACAGCGAAACAAACTTTTCGTATGTTAAGTCTATGGGAGACCATTTTCCAATTCATTGGATGATAAAATTCTTGTTTACACTCTTTTTAAGATCTGATTTGCGCTTTCTAGTTTGAAAGACTTCGCTTTTAACCAATAAAAGTCTGCCGAGAACCGGCTGCCTGGAAAACTATCGGGAATAACCACGCCCCCTCAGAGATTAGTCGTCGGAGTCAAAATGTAAACAAACGTAAAAAATTCGCCATTTTTTTTCGTTTTTCACCTGTAATTTTGCTAATTCTCAAGTTTACACACTGTGCTAAAACGAATAAGTGTATTTTCAGAACCGTGGAATGTAAATTTACCGCGAAAATCAACAGTTTTTGTTGTTAATAAACGAAAAATATGCTTATAAACTTATTATACTCGATTCTAGCTCGATTTTGAAGCGAGATATCGACTATATATACAGTATATATTGCTGATTCTATTCTATTAATTAAATGTTTATTTACAATTGCCTTGACTCTGAAATATTTCTGGTTCGTAAAAACATTATCGGCGACTATTTTGTAATCTTTTCATTGTAATTTGCAGTGTCTAGCGTAACGCAATAGACAGAAATAAAACAGAATAAGGATATAGAGGTTAATATATAGGTATATATACTGTCTATATGGACCTTATTTATTAATAGGACTTATTAACTTATTTATACTGGTGTAGTTTCTTTTGAATCTCTCTTTTGCTAATCGGAAACTACACCAGTATAATAAGTCCTATTAAGTCGATGTTTCTTTGTAAAGTAGCGTATAACAAATTCAATATATTGTGTTCAACGATAGATAATTGGTCGATAGCATTGAAAAATCTGCTATATATTTTTCCTATGGTTATCTCAAGATCCTCATTTGATGGAAAATTATCAAATATTAATTACAAGAGAGTGTTGTAAACAAAGTACACAAGAAGATTAGTTTTTGCTGGAAAAGAACAAGCATTTTCAATTATATCATAGTATTAAGAAAAGTTTTATATGCGAGGATTAGCGTACTTGTTCATGGACATAAATTATTTAAAATGATTATTTTTTTAACTGAGATGTGGTCAAAATTATATGTTGACATATAACAAACGTCGTAAAAGCTGAAAACCTTTCAATTAATATGTAAATATAGATTCTACTTAATTCATGATTAAAGACTTTCTAACAATCCAAAACAATTATTCTTATCGGAATTATAAGTAAGCAGTTGTTACTGATTTAACAATTGTTAATTGTTCACTAGTAAAACATTGTTGTCGAAGATATCGCGAGTAAAAGATTAAGAAAAATGACAAAAAATGATGAAATTTTCGAAGAAAATATGATTATCGATCGTCTTAAAAGTGAGATCGATCAGTTAAACAATAATCAATTAAAACTTTATAATCAAGGACTAGAATTAACAAACAAGTTGAAAGAAACTGATAGACTTTTGGATGAATCCATGAATGACACGATCATTTTTCAAAGATTAAAAGAGTTGGAATATGTAAATATATTTACTTTTATTTTCTTTATTATAAAGTCTATCTTTTAACTTAATTTAATACTTTTGTAATTAGGAATTGAACATGATTAAGCGAGAAAATAATTTAGCAGAAACTAAGTTATTTCAATTAACAAGAAGAGATTTGCAACTTAGAGAAACACCGACTCCTGCGTATAGAGATGCAAAAGAAGATGAAGCTGAAAGAAATAAAAAGTATTAAAACAATGTTTTTTTTTTAAATTATTGCACATTTTTTTACATGTTTATTCCGATAGATTAAAGAAAATGTTGAGATTTAAAAATAAAATCGGCAAGACTTTCGAAGAAATGAAATTGTATCAGGAATCTTTAGAAGAAGATTTGGAAAAACAAAGGATAGTGGTCGAGAATAAACGTAACGAATTACAGAATTTAGAGAATTTATTTATTAAAGTAAAATACGAATTTCGATATATTTATATATAAAAATAATTTAGAATAATTTAATTTATTCATTTTTTTTCTTGTAAAGAGAAAGAATAAACTCTTTAAACTCTTAGAGAAGAAGCAAAATAGAGAAAACAAGAACAAAAGTATAATGATAAACGTGGACGAGAAGAAAGAAGAAATTCTTTATCAAAATAAAAAATTAATTACACGCGAAGAATTGCTTAAAACTATTAAATTTAATTTAAGTTCATTAAAGGAAAACTTATCGAAAGAAAATGTTAGCCATTAAATGGAAATTTCGAACAAATTTCATACAAGTTAATGAATATTTTATTATTTAATTTTAGAAAAATATTGAAGATTTACGTGTAGAATGCCAGTCTATAGAAGATACTATTGAAAGAAACAAAGAAGAAAAGATTTTGGCAGAAAATAACGTGGACGCATTACAAACAAATATTATCATAAAAAGTGCTGAAATTAAGGTGAGAAGTGGATGGTACTTTACTTCTCTCAATATGTATGAAGCAACATATATTAATAAGTATATTCGGTTCGTAAGAATAGTGTAAAGTTTTACCGGTTTGACGCCATTTCTAGATCTTTTTTCTTCTAAAGGAACGTGTAAAATGACATTATTGACAGTACTTATAACGTTCTTTTCTTATTCTCGTTGCTCACCAATTGTCGAGTGGATAAAAACACTAAACGTAAGTTGTGGGTTCGAAACTCACTAGCTATGTACAGTATAGTTCACGTGTCTCACAACAAAATAGGGCCCAGTTTCTCAAGGAAAATCTTCCTGGTTGGTATTCTTCCTTGGCAGATTGCATTGCCCTATTCTATCAAACAAATTAACTTATCAACTATTCTCTCTAACTGAGTAGAAGTGTATCTGGAAGAAGAAATGGTAGAATATAGAACATTTCTCTTAAATTATATTACAAGTATAGAATGCGATCAGTATTCAATGATCACTCGGTCACCAGTGTGCTCATTAAGTTAGGTCTAAATTTGCTAATGTTTTATGTTAATGCCCTCTTGCGTTAGGGATTGCTTTGGATAATCTTTAGTGTGTAATCAGAATTTACTAGAACTTAATTTATAAAATAAAATATTTAAACGTTAAAGGATCAAGAAGATGAAATGAAAATTCTAAAAGAACAAATTAATAATCAAAATAAAGAAGTGTACGTAATTGAGAAGAATATATCTTACTTGGAACATAAAAAAGAAGTGAAAGATAAATGGAACGAAATGAAACAATCTGTTATGTCGAAAAAATCCAAAGAAATTGCATCATTGAAAAAAGTATGCTTTGAGTTTCAAAACAGCATAGAAGATTTGAGAAAACAGAATATAAATTTAGACAAAGCAAGTATTTCGTTCAAATACGTAAATTTCGATTGCAATTTTAATTTTAATAATTTATATTGTTCTTATAGGAAATAAAAAAAGCCAAAGTAGGAAAAGAAAACGAAACGAGCTATTTAAAAATTAGTCAAAATAAAGAAGAAGCGCTTCAAAACAGTTTAAAACGAGAAAGATTACAAAAGGATACTTTTCAAAAACAATTGAAGAAATCAGAAATAAATACAATCGCGTTCAATAGAGAATATATGATACTGTTAAATGCGGTATAATTATAGTTACAATTAATTAATACTACTGTATACCTTGTATTTTATTTTTAACTTTCCACTCTGTAGGCACTAAAGGGGCCTTTTACCATTGTGATTTTGGTCGGGTCTACTACGAAAGCGACCGTTCGTCACGGAAATATCGGGCCGATATTTACGTGACGAACCACCCATGGAAATTCCTTGGGTACCCAGAATAGCATAGTATTTGACGACCATCCGGTCGTCAAATACTATGCTATTTTGAACTCTTTCCGTTCAACGGGACCTTTTTTAAGCAATGCTGTTATGGGTACGATACGACGGGTTACAATGGGGCGGCCGAATTGTGAGGAACGGGGTCCGATATATCAGGAGAGACCATCTTTAAAAATTCCTGGAGATTTCCTGAAAAATGTTTTGGGATGGAGCTATCCTGGTCCCCAGGGACGATCTACATAGGAACTAATAGGGATTTAGCCCTGGGCCCCAGGTGTCAAGGCCTCACAAAACTTGAATTATTATCATAAATTTTTAATACTTTTTTTTATTAACAATTAGCACTTATTGTATAGTAAAAATAGTTAATGTTAATAATATAATAATAATAATAATTTATAGTATTATTTGTATTAAAAAATGGGGACCCATTGGACTTCAATAAAGCCCTAGGCCCCAAAAAAACTTAGATCCGCCTCTGCTGGTCTCCCATAGAAGTATGCAGTCAAATACTATATATTCTTACCTAAGACACTGTAATCATAATACTTTCAATGTTATACTTATAATATTTACTACGCTACACTTACCAGGGTACTAAGAGAGCCTTTTTAATAAACGATGAATTTAGCCAAGCCCACAAAGAAGAGGCCAGATTCGATCTCGGGTCTTCCAGAATCATAATGTAATCAGCCAGTAGGCCAAGCCTTAATGGCTTCGTCCATCCACCCTCATTCATCAATACACTTATTACACTTATTTGCTACATTTATAATACAATTACTTAAAACGCACTAGTTATATAATTATAGTTACTAAATTTTATTATTTTAAAGTTACAAAATGCCAAAAATGAAGCGGAAAGTATATCAAATAAACTGAAAAATAGTAAAAATGTCAAAGAATTGAAAAGACATCATTTTATGAAGTTACAAGAACAACAGATTAAAGTTTCTCAATCCCGGGATGCAATTATGGCAAATTCTCAAGACAATCGAGTAAGAATACATTTGTTTTTTACTTATTTTTTATTTTTAAATTCTCATTCAATGTGGATATTTGATTCATGTACGTCTAAGTACGTCTAATGAAATTCCACAAAAGTCCATCTTTTCTGAAATTGTTTTTCGGATGATTCCGAAAACTGACGAATTTGGAAAGAGATCCCTCACTAAGATTAATTAATATTTGTATTCCATGGATTTCGAGATTCATAAAATTCGACGAGGAGACTCAAAAGTATCTCCTCATTGAATTCCAGCATAGATTCCTTTGGATCGAAATGTGAATATACATCTTTCACAACGGGATTGGACGATCTGCCGAGGGTGGTAGTTCCCGGAAGGAGTTTCTATGGGATGCTGTTTCCTATTCAGGTGTTAGACACGTGAAGAAAACTGGAAATAACCACGACAACTACCAGTGTTTAGTGGTTTTATCCACTCGTCCCTTGAAGGTCCTCTCTCACTAAGGAAACGTATTCTTTTCCACCGATAAAAGATTCCTCATTAAGAAGAAACATTTATGTCTTCTCTTAGTGAGGAATATTTGCTCGAAAATAATCCGGATTTTCCCGAATTTGGAATCATTCTTCACTCTCAATCGTGTATTTTCGATCAAGGCTATCGAAAGATTAACCGTGTCTCTTTTGCTTTTTAGCGGATCTTTTTATCCTTTTGTTTTTTAAATAAATGAAATACATAGAATGTTTATTAATAAAAAGCAGTTTTAAATATTTTATTTTCTGTTAATTAATAAAAATAACGTTAATTTTATAGGAGTAGGAATCATTACGGGGCCTCTAACATTTCTTCGAATCTAGGGAAAAATTTCAGCTTTCCTCCTCTCGATTGCCATGTTTTCAAGTTTATTGAAATATATGGCTGCTTACAATTAAGCCATGCCATAAACCCATAGGAAATAATACTTCGCTTTAACGAATCACTTATGCAATTTATGCATGACTCTAACATTTATTACGTAATTAACATGAACAACATACTGAAATATGCTATCCTCTCTTTCCGCGCTCCAGAAATCGCCGTTAGTTGGTTAATAAGATACTTTACCACCATCCTGTATTAATGCAGCATTATATTTTAATTGTAATTAAAATTTTTAAAGGAATTATTGATTATTATATTTCAGGTGACAATGCATCATTTACAAGATAAGATACAGTCAGCGATAAAGAAAAGAAACTCGTTGAAGAGTCAGCTGGCCATTTACACGAACGAAAAAAATAGAAGAAGATTGTTATACGACAAACAACGCAATGAAATGAGCAAAAAAACGAAAGAATTAGAGATGAGAACTACACAAAAAGAAGAATTAAACAAGAAATTTGAATTATTGTTACATGACATAAATGATCTTCAAAGAAAAGTCAGAGATAAAGATAAAGAAATATCTTTAGTGAAGAAGAGTCTTACCCAGGTAAGTCTTTTTGTTTTTAAATATATTTTAAATCACATTAAATTATTTAAATTTAAAAATTTTCCAGGAAAGTGAAACAACGGAAAAACTGATAACTAAATTATCACGCTTGGAAAACTTACTGCTAAAGTTAAAAGACCAAGAGATTGAAGAATGTAAAGTTTTAGAATATACCAAAAGAGAAATATATAAAGCCAAGGAAGATGTTACTTGGTTAAGATTAGAACTGGAACAGGCTTCTTCTGGAGTCGAAGTTTTACATGTAAATAATGAATCCGAGAAAGAACTCATAAGGCACTTAAAAGATGATTATATCACGATGGAAGAGGGACGATCATATTTGGATTCATTAGAAGATAATCTTATTAATCCCGAGAATACAGATCAATGGAAGATAATTCGGGTATTTCATGTTATTAAATGTTTGTAGAAATCAAACCTGTAACCATGGATTCCCCTGTACGTTCGTTGTCTCACAAAGACCACACCAATATAATAGAACAATAATCTTTAATCGACTTATGGTACAGTACAGTACATGCATTTGGAAGCTCAATCCCATTCCACTAAAAAGGAATCTTTCTCGGTTCTTCGTCTACCAAAAAAAGAACCAGAAGTTTCTTTCTCTACCTTCTTACTCCCTTCTCCTTTTGTGTGAATTTCTAAGAATTTATTAGTTTGTCCATGTAATAAGTTTTGAATTTTAGCACCCCAACATCTCGTTTCACTCTACCCGTGTCTCCTCTGCCCTGCCCCCTCTGCAACTGCCTTTTCATGGCTCTGCATATGGAACACATTGACGTGCTTGACTGCACGAGAAATGCCCTATCTTCAATCTCCGCATTATTCGTCTTTTTCCTTATCTGCATCGGCCATAAGCTGGATTACTACTCAACAATCAATAACTAGAGCTTACTTTTTCACAACATAAGTTTAATATAAATGAATATTCCTACAAGAAATTTCAAATTTTCTTCACATAATAAAGAATTTTTTAATTATTTTTAAATTCTTTACCATAGGAAATAAATGAACGTAAACATGAATTGGAAGAAGTAAATAAACGTCTTTTAGAATATACACACCAGATACAAATGAAAAAAATGGCGCAAAATTTTAAAATGTTTGAAAATGAAATAATTCAAGACGAAGTTTACCTTTTGCTAACGGGAAGAGAGAAAAACCTGGATATATTTAGAAATTTTAATGAAACCTATCGTTTAATTACAATGAAAACAAATCAATTAAATGTTTGTAATTTTAATTATCATTATTTTTATATCTAAATGTAATTAAATATCTAAAAATATTTATTTCTACTAAGGGGTTATTGACCGAAAAGAATATGATCTACACTTTATTGCACAACGAAATCAAAGTTAAAGCTGAATTATTAAATAAAATAGAAGTTTTAAAAAATGAATATTTTAACAGTAAAAGTAAAGTAAAATTTTGA